ATCTCGGGGAAAAAAAAAAAAAGAGATGGGGTTTCTCCATGTTAGTCAGGCTGGTCTGAAACTCCAGACCTCAGGTGATCCTCCTGCCTTGGCTTCCCAAAGTGCTGGGATTACAGGCTTGAGCCACCGCGCTCAGCCTTAGAATTCTTTTTAAACTAGCTGGATTGATACTGAGCATTCACTGGACAGAAGACAAAAGGAAACATTAACTAACAACATCATCATCTCATCAATTATTCCAGCTCTACCTTCCCCTATCTGAAATACTAGGGATTCAAGAACACGTTTACAACAGAAACACTAAGCTCCTAAAGAACAGATCTATGCATTCCACCCATGCTTAGCATATTGTGTGAGCATATGACTAGTGTTCCTTGTTGATGAGAGGAGGCTGAAATGAATGTTCCACTTCCTGCCCCTGGGGATCCTCATTTAGAAATGCTTTCCTCAAGATTCCATGAGAAAACAATTTCTCCCTTTACAGGTAGGTAACCCAGTTTCTCTGAAAACACCTGATTTGTGGTATCTCTGTAACGCAGACTTTCAACCAGCTGAATGTTAGATGTAGGACCTGGGTAAGAAAACAGGTCTTATTCCTGGATAAGAGAACAATGTGGGAAGGAAAAGGAACAACCACTGCTCCATTAATGTGCTAAATCACCAGGCTGCTCCCACTCAAATCAGGTGCTAGTACCTTTGCAGTTATGGGGGAAAAAAGACCATGGAGAAGTCCATGGAGTTTGCCCAACTCCCTGTGGGTAAAGCTGTTGGGAGAGGATAGAGGCAGAAACTAAAAAGCAGCAAGCTATATCATGGATGGGAGCCTGAAATGAAAAGACCATCAAAGATTTCCAGGCAACTCTGACTTTCATCCTTCCCTTAGAAGACTATACGAAGTGGCCGGGCAAGGTGGCTCACGCTTGTAATCCCAGCACTTTGGGAGGCCGAGGTGGGCGGATCACCTGATGTCAGGAGTTTGAGACCAGCCTGGTCATTATGGTGAAACCCTGTCTCTACTTAAAATAGAAAAACTAGTTGGGTGCAGTGGCGGGCACCTGTAATTCTAGCTACTCAGGAGGCTGGGGCAGGAGAATCGCTAGAACTTGGGGGGCTGGGGTTGCAGTGAGCTGAGATTGTGCCACTGCACTCCAGCCTGGGTAACAGAGTAAGACTTCATCTCAAAAAAAA